ACATCCTGAGGACTGCACAGGAAGGAGAAAGTCAGGGTGCACAAACAGATACTGAACTTTCCCATTACAACTTTCCTGATCTTGCAGGGGATCACGTTAGGCAGAACGCTGCCAAGTTTGAATTAGCCCTTATGGCCCATAACTCCTGGGATACCTCCCCCCCCTTTCTTGAAGCAGTTCGTCTTTCTTAAAGCTCCTTCTGCATCTGCATTTTTCCTTTCTATTCTTCCTTACTAAGCACTGGCATCTCTTATTTGCAATAAGCAGCAAAACTGTTACACTCTGATCTTTGTACCTCCGGAAGACTTCTGTGGGTGGGAGATAATGACAGGGGCCCCCTCCTAACCCCAAAATGTCTGATGAATTTGTCTCCTGCCCTGTGGCAGATTGTGGGGCCCAATGATGCAACTTTACTGGAAGCACTGAAGTTGGGGAAGGCTACTCCAAGGGAACATTGAGAGCAACAAAGGAGGCTAGGGAGTGAAGAATATGGACAAATGCAAGCTCCTTTGTTATTCATAAAACTATTAAGTCACAGGGGCAGTCCTGTTCCTTTCACCTTTGGCTCTTGCATATTCAGCACAAAGATTTGAAGAAAGACTGCAACCTGATTCACATTGTGCTAAATTTGGAATGATTTGGTTTGACTTACCAAGTTGTGTGAAGCCAGCTAATTATGGCTTAATGAATCATGCCTAAGCAACCCTTGACTTAGCATATGTGTTCTCACCTGTGAATGTGGTTAAAGTCCTCCCAATAATCAAGAATTCTGCATGATCAGGAATCTTAGAGCACCCTCTCCGAAGAAGCAAGTATGATCCTGACAGTAGAATTATTCTGGCATTATATTTACTGCCAAAGCATTTGGCACAGTAGGGATGCTGTTAACTTCTCTGTGGTTTTTAGGGTTTTGCTTTGTTCTTGTTGGTTCTAATGGTTGTTCATGTTTTATTGCATTGCATTCTTATTGGGTTGATTCATTTTATTCATACCTTTGCACACTGCCCTGAAATCCAACTAGATGAAATATGGTTGAGAAATATTTTGAATAAATAAATAAAACATTCCTGGCCCTGAGAAAGATCTTCCCACTCTGTTTTGAGAGCCCTAACAATGCTACCTGATGATGTAGTGTGATTGTTGGCTGGCCTTGTAACTGCAAACTATTTGTGCTGCCACTCTGGTTATACTGTTGGATTAGTGTATTCTTGACAAGGTACAAACCATCCTTAAATTCCAGACATTTATTTTTTATTGGTCAAATTTACACGCTGCCTACCTCCCTGTATAATTCACTTTTCACTTCCCCCATTCCCACTTTAGTCCCACTTCTACATACAAGGAGCTGCCTGACACTGGAGAGTTAATGCTTCAAGTACTAATGTAATTCAGCCATTACAGTATTTTAATTCAGTTCCAGCATTTATGAAACATTTCCCTACCATGGTGTCTTCCCTGGCCCTGTGTGCTACTTCTCTCAGGGGCTATGTGGCCATCTGAAGACCGTCCCTTTCTCCAAGCAAGAGGAAACAGACTTGAGGGAATGGAGGAAAAATATAGGAACTAGGGAAGGGAGAAGGAAGAAAATCATTGGGAGATCTTCTCTGAGGGGCTGGTCTTCCTACGAAACTTTTTCCAGAAGCAGCTTTTGATCTTTGTTTTTTGGTAACCACCTATTAGTGACTGTTCTTAAATGGGAGAACATAGTTTGGCTAAAATTGAAGAGGTGGAGATTTCATAAAGCCATTCCCCCCTCCCCACAATAATCCAAGCACTGCTGTTTCCCTGTTGCCATGTGGGTCTTTGTGCGATTATCAGAATTACACAGAAGTAACCAAACTGCTTTTCTGTATTCAGTTGAAATCTCACTGGGAAGCACTACTTAAAACAGATGACAAAAGCCCACAGACTGTGATGTAAACCAGTTGCAGGTGAATGGGATAATTACATGGAGAGAGGTGCACAACACTATAGCTGAGTTCATGTAATGTGGTAAAGGCTAAACCTAGGCTAGGAATTACAGTAGCTGTGTTACGTACCATTTTATGTCCAAGCAAATCAACTACATTATGGGCTAATGTGATGGCCTGGCTCGCAAAATGCAAAGACAATGGCCGGATTCCCTCAACACACTAAACTGTAAATTCTATTTCAGCCTAGTCTAAGGTGTAGTGCAAAGCCAGCATGGGAGGGTCCTGACATATGAGGGAGCGAGAAATAATCCTGATCACATGAGCATCAGTCATGTCTGAAGGGACAGTAACACCACTAACACTTCCTCATTTCCTTTAAAAGTTTCAAAACTGCCATCCAAATCTGCCAATTTCTCATCTCTGTGATAATCACATGATCTGAAACCCTGGGATTAGACAAACAGTCCTTGGGACATAGTTCTGTAGCTGATTTACCAAGGTCTTACCACAAATTATAATTGCTCTATTCTAAGCCCTCATATCTTCCTCCCTCCCTCCTATCGAGTCAATCTTGACTCCTGGCAATTGCCTGGACAAGCCTCTGCAGTTTTCTTGGCTAGATTTCGGAAGTGGTTTACCATTGCCTCCTTCCTACGGCTGAGAATGTGTGACTGGCCCAAGGTCACCCAGTTGGCTTTGTGCCTAAGGCAGGACTAGAACCCATGGTCTCCTGGTTTCTAGTCTGATGCCTTAACCACTACACCAAACTGGCTCTCTTAATATTTTATTAAGCACGTATTTATGGTGGTAAGTCCATTAAATGGCTAAATAACTGGAGGCTCCAAACAATAATGCCTATGAGAGGAAACTATTATTACAATCAATCCTCTTAAAATTAATTTCTTGTTAATGTTTTAGGAACAGATTTGTTTGTCCTCAGGTCTTTCAAGTGATTCACAGCCTTCTTCAAAAATAGCTTATGCGCACCCCAAAGACACTCAGTCCAGTCACTTTTGCTTATGAGGCACCAATTACTGATTTAATGATATGGTTCTATTACTTCAGAGCTCTTTGAAACACATTTTTTTTTTGTCTTAACAATCTGGGTACAAAATGTTTACCAAATGAAGAGTGCAGCTTCCCCACTTTAACAACAAAAGAAGAACTCTGAGCACTGGGGTAAAGCAGGAATTCCAAGAAGAATTTTTAAATCACAAATTTGATTATTTGCAGACAGGCTTAAAAGCTCCTTGAACTGAGATATGTGTGGGCTCGCTGTGACCTGGCATGCCAATCTGTGCAGATAATGGATTACAAACTTAAAAGAACCCAACTATCTTATCATCTCATAAATCCCATTTCATGTATCACCTAAGTCACAGCCAAAGGAACTAGGGAGAAGTTCAACAACTGATGTATTTTTTCCTTCCCATATGAATTCCAAGGAATAAATTAAGCATCTGTCACAATGATTTACAGACTTTTTAAAATGATAACCTGGGCTGCAATACTCCGCACGCTTACTTGGAAATAATTATAGTTACATTCAGTAAGGCCTACTTTTGAGTAAGCATGTCTAGAACTATTACACTGATCTTGCAGTCCTGAAAATGCTCATGCTTTGGTTGCCAACAGAAATGTATAATGATCAAGTTAAGAGGGAAAAAAGTGTAGCGTATTCCAAACAGTTCAAAGCAAGTCATAGCTAATTTGCAAAATATCTCCATTTCACAGAAATATCTCGGAAAAACAAAGCTCACTAGCAATTCTTGTAGAGATGTAACAATCAAACTTCAATATAAATATGAGGGAATATTTTTATAGCTCTGACAGACAGTTTGAATGATTTGCAAGCACCAGAACTTAAAAGATTGCAACCCAGTTGTTATATGTCATCAGGTAGACACTGGTAGTCACCCACGTACATTAATGTTGGCCTGACTAAAGAATCCCTGCAAGATTGCTGACATGATGTAAATTGCAAGGAGCTAAATTTCAAAAAGTCCAGAGTTACTTTCCATCCACAAACTGCTGCACTTTCAGATCCTATTGTGATTCTCAATGATGAATCTTTGTAAAATCACTATATACAGCAATAGATGATTTAGTCTCTGATCAGTACCATTTTGCAACTGTTTCCCACCATCTGTAGAGGTAGTATGGTTTGTCATTATGCAAATACTAAAGACTCTAAAACTCATCCACATTCATCTCACACACACACACACCACCACCACCACAATCCCCAATGATTGATTCATTCCATCTTTTTCTGGCGTGAGACAAAATCATACTTGTTACTTTGGCTAAACCAACTAAAATCATGGTTTAATTATGCTAGTCCTGCAATCAGGGCTTAGAAACAAAAAGGGTTCCTACATGTCAACCACAACCGATTTAGAATAAAGTATGAGTTTATCAGAAAGTAAAGAGCATATAAGTCTGAAGTTCCTTAAACTTGGCAGCAAGTCATCCTACACCCAGACTTGCTCAGAGAAAGAGGAAATGGTGCTCAACATGGATGCATTTTAACTGAAGAGCACCAGTATATAAAAACTGACTTATTTTTCTATTAATTTTTCCTCCTTACAATGTCCTTTCTTCAGGACCTTGAGCAATCAGGGAATATGCTCCCTTCCTTTTCCACTGGTGAATCTGGAATAACAGGAAGTTCTGTCTGACTTAAAATAAAAGCTAAGTATTTTTGAGTCCAGCTTGACTTACAGTGACTTCATGAACATACACATGTAGTTTTCTTGGCAACAACACAGCAGGTGGTTGCCTTCTCCTGAAATGTTATTTGCCATTTTCCAATTTAGCCTAAGCCCTGGGATTTCCTTGTGGCCTCCCATTTAAGTACTAACTAGATCCAAGCCTGCCTAGCTCTTCAAGATATGCCAAGGCTGGCCAGATGCTGTCACCTAGCTGGACCATCTCTAATTTGGAAACACGCAGAATGTTTGTTTGAGGCAGTTAGCTATAACATGAGAAAAGGATCTACAAAAATAAAATCTAGATGTCGATGTTTCCTTATCCACTTATTACAAACATATCTAAGAGCTTGCCTTTCTGTTTTGTCACACCTACCTGCAATTCCTTGTAGCAGCCCACAGACATTAAAAATACTTTTCTTCATAATACTCTGTACACACATGGTGAAAACAGAAACAAAAGCAACTACACAGAGTATCGAGATCCCCACAGCAAGAAAAATAGCAGTAGCCTGCCAAAACCCACTGGCGATCTCACTGAAGTTATCCGCGTAGGGGCCACAAGATGTATCAGGCATAGAAGACTGCAGGTGCTCAATTCTGGTGCAACGTCCATAGATCCCCAAGGTTGGACGATACGGTTCCACTGATCCTGCCCTCCTGCTGTCTGTGTCCTGAGAACTTCCAGGCTGGGCCTTGCCAATCAGCCAATCCGCACTCATGAAGGCGATGAGCTCCGCAAATGCCACAACAATACTCAAGAGTGTCCACAACATTGAGCGGCAAGTAACAATGACATGACACATATTGCTGTCCAGTGCTTGTGGCCGCTTCAATTCAGAGACTAAAATCCAAAGTGGTTAAAAAGAAAAGAAAAAAAAAAAGAATTGGATTAGAATATGTAATCCTTGTTTCTGTTTACTTCTTCTTCAACATCAGAAACAGAAGATACTCTTGGAAGGCGTTAGTCATGCAAGCAGTCTTGTCACTGATTCTAAACATCTTGTTTCTCTCTTCCTCTTCTTTGACTGACGAGCTTTGAAGGGTGTGCATCAGTGCTAATATTCATATTAGCATATGACGTTTCAACCACATGTGGGACACTACAGAGGACTGCCTCTGGTTTGATACCACACACCTAAAAGAGAGAAAAGAAAAAAGTTATGGGGGGGGGGATTGTTAAAAGAATTAAAATAAACCCATCACTTCTGAGAAAAATCCACTCTTGTTTTTTTTAGCTAAGAACTAAATCAACATCTAATAGTTAGATTCTATGTTATAAATAACATCGTACATTAGCTTGTCAAATACAGTCTGCAGGAATCTTCTGCAACCTTTACCCCCAGTAGGATTATTAATTTCCCGTGACCAACGCCTTACAGTATTGCTACCATATTAGAAAACCTAGCAGTGGTCTGCTGATAAGTTTCACAGAAATTCAGAGCATATCCATCCATTCAAATACCCACCTGAAAATGACATACTTTGTACCATTTGTGAGCATGGGTTCTAGAACAAAGGCCAGGGTCAATCAAGAATTAAACAGAGTCTCTTATTTAAAATGGACAACTTTCATGATTGTTTTCTAGAGGAAACCAGCAAACTAAAATGCAATTTAAATGGCCTAGGTAAATTAAAAAAATCTTTCTTTAGCCCTGGGATGATGAAGGATCAACTACTCATAAACTACTGAACTGACTGGGCATTAGTGGTTCTTCAGTTGGCACTTATCTCATCTCTAAACGTGGCATATCCCAGAGAAGGACTGCTGAAGCTTATCTTATTTGGGGCTGTTTCATGTGGTAGAATAGCCATGTACATTTTTATATGTATACTATTTTTTACTGAATACACAACAGATCAAGACAAAAACTAAACATGCAGAATTTTAAAAAGAAGATAAACCAAGAACTAAACCATAAGTAAACATGAAAGAAACTTCAGATTATCGACACATGGATACATACATAAGACAAGACACCCAGAATATGTAAAAGCTATTAGGAAAATTTTCGTTAATATTGCTCAGGAAAGATAAACATGTTTCACTAAATTTATTTTTAAGTTTAGGGTTCTTCATAGGTCTTTGCTGTTTCATAATTTTTGCCAGTAGGAAAGATAATTTTTTGATTACACATTTATGTATTAATTCATGATCTGGAGGCAGATGATTCAGTTTTGCTAGCGAAGCAGAACTGGATCACAGAAGCATCCTTAAATGGGAAGTCAGGTGTAAACATAGAGGAACATCTATGAAATGGCTGGAGGAAACACAAGGAAACACAAGGAAAGCAACAGATATAAAGCTGCAGTATAGTTTAAAATTTAACACCAAACTATATGGAAGAACCTCCACATAAAATTCACGTGCCAAGGTTTACACATAGATCCACTGTGTTTCTGCAAGCCATCATAAACTATCCAATCACAGCCATACTAACTGGAAATTCGGGAAGTTTTATTCACATCAAATCTGGAAAACAGTAGGTCGGAGGAGCCTCTTCTAGCCGTGCACAGGGGGACCAAAAGAGGATGTTCTTGTATGGAGACAAATTATTTTTATATTGCTTGCTTAAAAGAAAACCATTTTAGGGAGTTGTCCATTATTTAATTTTCTGGATTTAAAATGGAAATAAGAGACCGCAACTTCTGGTTATTCTCAGACAGTCAGCAAAGAATTAGTACAGTTCACAACTTGACTTCTGGCAAAGGTTAGAAAACACGCAGCACTGCTGTCAGGCAGACCAACGGGCTCTGTGGTGCAAACACACCCTCTGTAAATAATGAAAGCTGGAAGATAACGTGCAAGTTGCCAAAACAGCAAATCCTCTCAGCAGGTCAAATTTCTATAATAATTGGGAAGGAAGGAAACGTAGTAACTGTCTCTTTTAACTTCACCCATGCCATAAAGGAGGTGAAGAGTTTAACAGGAAGGAAGCAAAACAATTAGCATGTTCAAAAGCGGACCGGTACTATTTTGTCAGAACAAAAACACTTACAGTTATTGAAATTAGTTTTAAGAAAGTATGGGGGAAGAAACATAAGCAACAGAGGAAAATAAAATAAAGATCACATCACATGCAGCTAGTTAGATCCACAGATCTTCAGATAGAAGCAAAGTTCATATTTATTTTACAAGGGTGTGGAGATCACTTGCCCATTAAAAGGAAAAGCAATAAAAACATGAGTCATTGTTCATGATACGTACAGTAACCGACCAATATGTACCAACACTGCCAAAGGCGAGGGGGGAGATCAGGAGCCATGGCTAGTTTATATTTTGAGATTTCCAAATTTAAAATCTTAGGTATGATGCAGTTCTCATTGACTAAGTTAAGATATTTTGCAGATGTCAAAAGACCTGAGTGGACATTGGTGGTAAGAACTGCATCCATCTTCCAGGATCAACACGCTACACCCCAAGCCCAAATAAGCATCAGCATAATAGTCTCGGAAGGCAGCCGGCAGCTTGTAAAACCATGTTATATAAGGAATAAGCTATAAGGGAACCACGAGCCATATTAAAGCACCATCTTTTAAGTACAGCAATAACTGTGTACTTAAACTGTAAAAACAAAGTTCATAAGAGCTCTAGAATCTTGTTCCTTAAACTATCCTTTGCAG